CAAAATTTTGCATGATTTACTGACTATTATTAATAGTTCTTGTATATATATTATCCAATGGTTGATACTTGATACGTTTATGATTTATAAATTTGTATGTCTACATTGTCTTATACAAACAAATTTGTTAACCAAAAACGTTACAAACTTTTCGTTTCATAGTCTATCTAGACCAGGACGTACAACATCACTATAAGATAAATCATCATACTCTTAACGTATATGCAATTATTGTTGTAGCTATTACGTTCTCTAGGCACATCTACGTACATTGCATAAATTATTGCGTATCCTTAACAAGCCAGTGGTACTTTATTTCTCCTCCAACTTTTAAGCTACAACTGTTAAATCAAGTTTATAAGTATATCATACCAGTCGATACTTTTCCAAATACTAAAATCAAAACTAAAAAAAAATTGGGACATTTCATTAGAAAAAAACGAAAAATAAATGAGAAGTTAATTCAGATATTGCGAACTTATATGTAAGGAACAGAGTATGCAGTACGACACGAGGACATATGCGGCTTTGTAGTGAAATTGGGAAAAACTCCAAACCATAAATGCCTTTACTACTTTTTACATTCGTTGTTGTAATTATGTATTTTTATTTTAACAAATGGTCCTGCTGTATACTTACACGTGCAAGTACGATATAAATGTTAATCATGATTTTATGTTGATACCTTACAAACTATCATCAAAGAGCAATAATGAAATCTATAATAGCTGTCGAGGGACAAAGCCTATGGGTCCAAACAAACATGCATAAACAGACAAAGGAGTAATGTACTTCTAATACACTTGTTTTGTTAATAAGGATTTGTTCGAAAATAAGGGGCAAATCGCTGATTTTACTGATAACAAAACAAAATTTTCATCACACAATTTTCATGATCGATTTTGTTAAACAATTAAGCAAATGTAGGTGTATAAAGTGGTAAGAAAATCGAAAGATTAAAAAACGAGAAAATTAATCAAGTTATTAAATTTACAAATTCTGCTATTTCCATCAACTAAATCCAAAAGATTTGTCAACATATTTATAATCTTTTCATTCTTGATTACATTTTTCATTATTTTTTGCTAATTTTTGTATAATTTTCGCGTTTTTACATTTTAAAAACATTTTTTTTTTAACCATTACCAAGATTTATCAAAATTACACATTTTAAAAAAACAACTCAGTTTTTCTTGTGGTCAACAACAGCTCAATTCTACACTGAACATATTAAAATTATGATTAAAAATAAATTTTGATACATTTTATAATAATTTTTACATTTTAACGCTTCCGCTATTTTATCTTTCGGTTATTCACAACTTCACTATAGATTCCAGTCTAAACATTTTGTCATTTTATGTCACAGTATAACAATTTTTATTTTTGAATTAGAAACAAAAACAAGAAGAAAACACTACCTAATCATAGTTTTGTAATACTTGTTTCACATTTAAATTGAAAATCTTTTAGCGAAAAAAAAAAGAAAACACTACCTAACACTTTGACCCAATTTTTTGTGTGTTTTTATCACTGTTTCAACAATGGAGCAAGTGTCATTAATTAGAGTAAAGAGTGATAAAAAAA